ATCCTGACCACTTCCTTAGGATACGGCTGCTTGGAACGAGGTGGACGATATCGGTATCGTTGCAACCCCTTCCACGTCTGATGCTGGGTGTAGCTGCCAACTGGAAGTAGGTTTTGACGCCTTATCAGGCCGTTGATAAGGCGTCACTGCCCCTGAAGCGTAACCCATCGTCTCATTGGGTAGGGCCCCTACCCACTCCTATAATACCTTTCCTAATCTTCCCCATAGGGGTTATCCTGACCACTTTCTTCTAATGTAGAAGCACAGACAGCAGGAATAAGCGCCGCGGAGTCCTTCTCAGGAATGACAGCAACAAAATATCGTAGTTTGGTTGTGTGTTTGATTTCTGGTTTCAAAATACACCTTTTTTGGAAATAAATCTTTCTGACTTCAAATCCTCAGTTACTTCTTCTCTAACTTCTTTAGCTTCCGTGTACAAAGATGTAGCCTTTGTAGTTCATTCAACTGCAACGTGCATATGTGGTGTTGTCCAATCCTAACAAACGTGCCATCTACGACCGATTCGGGGCGATGGGTTTGGACGTTGCCGAACATTGCGACGAGGACCAGCAGCAGTACATGGCCGAATTTGCTCGAAATTCTAGATGGGCGGTGAGTGAGATTAGTTGTAAAAACATGTGGGAGAACGACGGAAGTTGAATTTCAAGTAGTGGGGAAAACTCTGGGGCCTGGTGCAACAAGCCTGGCCAGGGATGGGTCCCCAAAACTCTGCATCTCTGGACTCTCCCCCATTTCGATCACGAAGACTGCGTCACCGACTGGAGTAGAGACGCAGAGTTTTGGGGACCCATCCCCTGACCGGGGCTTGCTGCACCCGGCCCCTGAAATGAGACGTTCGGATGAGATGGGGAGAATTAATACTAGAAACAATTGTTGAAACAATTGTTACCATCTAGTAGGACAACAGGGTTCGCTGGATGGATTGTGAACCTTTCTATCATATCCCTAGCTCTTACCATTATTTTTTGCGACCCGCTGTTACGTTCACTTTTTCCAAGAAATTTTGAAGCCAGAAAACCTTTCTTGAGCTCTATTTCAGCTTCTGCTCATGTGTGTAGGACTTCTGACGTGCTGTTTCTGCTGTTATTGTTGCTGCGGTTGCTGTTCGATGTGCCGTCGAAGCCACAAGGGTGACGACTCACATCAGCGAAGAGAGCGGCGAAGAGCAACGGATTCCGATTGGGATGGTCCCGTGGTGAGGGCACAGTCCGAACAGCATTCCTTTTGGTTCCCTGATCGTTCCTTCTATCATTTCTCTGCTTTGCAGCGCAATCAGCCGACAGAGAGCCATCACTCGTCACTATCCGACGAATTCTCCATCAAAATCAAAGGATTGGGATAAATCAAAATGCACTTCATACTCGTGATTAATATTATCTGTTAATTTAGTACGCGAAAAAGGCCCCAATGTAGAGCTTTAGTAGGTAGATCTCATGAAAACAGTCTCTGCTACAGATCAACAACATTTTCTAGAGAAAACACTTGTCAAAAACATTTTGTAAAAATGTTAAATAAATCGATTGATGTGTCAGACATCCTAAAATGGTCGGCCGATCACTAATCTATGTGGCCTGCGACGGTACAGCAAAGGGAATTGCTTTGTCATATTTTACCAGATACCCCGAACTACCCACTCGGTCCGCAGATTGCTGCGAGGAATCCATTCTACACAATCGCACGTCACAAATTGGGAAAACGGATCGTTTGATACTGATGAAGGAAGGACCGAAGAAGAATATGTAGCTCACGGACGCGCCATTTTTTTTACGAAACCCTGTTATCAATTTTCCGGTTTTCAACCTATCTTCATGTGATTGAAACAAAATCACGCTTAATTTAGTAGCTGCTTCCTCAGCAGTTCTGAGTACATCTGAATTTATCAATTCTTCAGCTAGTTTGGTCACTATTGGTGGCTGATATCTTCTGTAAGCTCTCCACGAGGTTGTTAAGCAGACTTTATTGGCTTACGTTTCGGCGGGGTCGCCTTCTTCAGAGCCTGAAAGGATCGAAGCAATTTATGACTACCCGACCAAACGCCTCCGCTATCCTACTGAAATTCGAGAACAAAACAGGTCATCACGCAATACCAAGGTGGGCCACTTACCGTAACTTAGTCCGGTACTCGAGACCACCCGGAACCAGTAGTGGGACACACAGCAATCCGGACTAAACTTGATTTAGAGTTACTGGTGGAAGGCCATCCTTATATAAGGCCTCAGCTCCCGCGTAATGGTAAGGCATTCCTCCCTCCGGTTCATTTTCCGAAGGCGACCCCGCCGAAACGTAAGCCAATAAAGTCTGCTTAACAACCTCGTGGAGAGCTTACAGAAGATATCAGCCATCAATATATCATGCCGAGGTTCTTGCAAAGCCGTACATTTCGACTTCTGCGCAACTTGATCACGTTCGACATTCAAAGACCACGCTCATCAACCTCAAGGCTTTTGCCATTTCTTCACAACTTCTCAAAGTAGAACTGCAGAGTGTAGTATTTTTCAAGAATGCGAGGCCAACTCGATAGTTCATGTCATAAGCGGATTCCGCTCCTGAGAGGAAAATCTTGCGGATAGACTTGTCGAGAATGTTCTACTTAACCCTTTGACTACTGGTGGGACACATGTGTCCCACTTCGTAGTCAAAGACACTACCACAGTTTCAGGGAATATTGAGGCAGGAGCGCTCATTTGATGGCTGAATTGTGCACATATAGAAGCTTTCTAATTCTTACTATGACAGTTAATCGTCAGAAGCTAAAGCGAGTCATCCTGCGTAAGTTAATCTTTGACTACTGGTGGTACACATGTGTCCCACTTGGTAGTCAAAGTCACTACCACAGTTTTGGCACTTATTGAGATCGGAGGGCCGCTTTATGGCGGAATTGTGCACAACTAGAAACTTGGTTTCTGCCTCCTACACTTACAGTTTGTTCTAGAGGATTCCCCCGTATAATGCGATAGCGCCGCCTCAACAAATAGCCTCAAAAGAGGCTTCAGGTGAAAATGTGGTTTGGGGGGAGCCACTCATATTATACAATCGAATTGACAATATCT